CTGTAAACCAGCCTTATGTCTCTGCCTCATATTTCTGAACAGCTGCGATTTGAATGAGTGTTCCAAAAATATATATGAAGACTACAACCTTTTCTGTAACGGATATTGCCATAGCACAAGCAAGATGCAGTCTACACATTGCATTGGGGCAAAACAATTAGCGTTTTTTAATTTTTTTAATAATTTGAGTGAGGATGTAATCTTTATAGCTATGCTGCCATATAACAAGCACTGCAGTCTGCCTCCTGTTTAGCCAATGTTTGCAATGATGATAATTATTTATTTTTTAAACCATTAAATCGCTATTGACTGCCTGTTTTGTGTACAAGCGGCAGTGACATCACAGAGTGACTGAGCAGTAGTGATGTGCAGTTTGCGAACGATTCATTCTTTTTTAACTACTCTTTTTACTGACTCAAGAGTTATGATTCGTTTTCCAAGTGACTCATTCATTTTAGTTATTCATTTGACCTGCTGGCCGCAATAAATTTAGTTAGACAGTCCCACTGGGCTAAAAATGGACCAGCCCATCTGGCATTTGCCCAAAATGCCAGATGGACCGCCCCTGTGAAATATGGTAGAAATTCAAGTCAAGTTATTGCTTACATATTCTACCTTGTCTCTGATCCCAAAAGGGGAAAAAAAAGGGGAAGGTCGAAAGGCAGAGCTTGAATGAAATGCATGACTAAAGCACTTTCTCCCACACCAGACTTTACCCCGCACCAACTTTCTTATATCCATGTCCTCATGGGCTGCGTTACACATGCTTTCTGTCCATCCAGTTAGAACAAACACCCTTACCGGGATACAGAGAGAGAGGCAGACATTCAGCCCCTGTGCCATGCCGACCCACTGCCCAGCTTGAAGATTGATCACTGCTGTGTGGAACGACGCACTAAGTGATTTTTGAGACGCTCCAAATGGATCCCAGAGCTCGTCTTCCCGCTTCCGGGAGACGTCATCAATAGCCCTAAAGTGCAAAGTTGGTTGAGAGAGAGACACCTCTGTCATTAAGCAAGTTGAGTGGGCTCTTCGCAATGGTGAGAGGAATGCCCCTGAAAATGGTTAGCAACAGACGTTTCACTAGAATTAAAGGCCTATTTCTATTAATAAAAGCAAATGCTCATTCATAACGTTATAAAAACGTTACAAACCTATCCGCCTAACAGTTAACTTAGCCTATTCACATCGGGTAGCCTATATGCAAATCAAAACGCCTCAATTAAACGAATAAATAGGATATAGCAGCAATAATAAATATTAGGCTATAGGCTTAGTTTAATTTCTACAGAAAACAGTCAGTTACCTTTTTATTATTCAGTTGCCTAATCCAATAGGCAGGAATAGGCTATGAAGAGTAAGTTAGCCGCAGGCCTAGTTGCGTGAGGGAGAGACTTTCACCTTTCTTTAGAATGCCCTCGATGCTGGTGGATAATCGCATTTGTCTGTGATGATTATGCAGTCTACTCTCCTCCACCTCCTGTTATTTTAGGAACGTTTTAGAAATACAAACCCTTGAAGGAGTGCACGAGAGGGTTCACCAAGAGGGTAGTTTAGGCCAATAGTTGTCCAGGCACGACCTTGATATATTTTTTTTAACAGTTTAACCCGCGCAGTCACTGCTTAAGCTTTCATGCGGACTAAAAGTGATTATATCGTTTTTTGTAGGTCTACAAATAAATGATCTATAACGTATAAGTAGCCAACTTGAACGAATTATAATTAGGCTACTTAGAACGCTAAGTAATTGTATTTGATAAAACTGCATTGTAGGAAGAAGCTATATCTTTTAAGGTTAAATCCAATTACAATTTGAATAAAACACATTTTTTCAGAAGGCGATGCTACTAGTTTTAATTTTCTCATTATATTAGGCATCATGCTGCAATGAGACAGTTAACATTCAATAGCCCATAAAACATTTTTGCACTTCAATCAGCACCGCATACAAAACATTAATTTCGAACCAAATGCCAAGGTTATTATTTTTGTAATGAAAAATAGGCCTATCATTTTCTCTTTTAAGATGCAGCGACTTCTGTGACTGAAATTACATTTCATAAAGCGCACTACGAAATGACTCCACATAATCATGAAACGAAACGATCAAACCGCAGTTTAAAATAATACAGTGTATAATGCTTATACAACTTTATGTCTATTCAAGGACTGTTTTCTTCCCTTTACTCACCACTCTCTCCTTACCTGCCCCTCTACGAGAAAAAGCTCCATACCTGAACGAAGGCCACATCACCCAAAGGAGAGCATCCTCATGCTGACCTTAAAAAAGAAACAGACAAACACCCATCCTCTCCTCTCTCCACCACCAGCCTCCCGGTCCCTCCATCTCTCGTAGCACTCCGTCTGTTGGGGCTGCATAGCCGGGGATTTTCAGATGGAAAGGTAATTAGTTGGTAAGCATCTTAACCCAGTGGAGAGGGAGTAATCCATGCTGCCCTCATCCCTCTCTTCCTGCTGCTGATGGACAGTTCGTCAGTGTCACGGACCTCTTTAGCGCGTGCGGTGCGTACAGTAGTCCCGTGCATTGTGTCACTTGACCGATATATTGCGAACATAGCCTATTACGTTTGCTGATGGTGACAATACTAATAATTGTAGATTATATTCGATTACCCTTTTTGTTAAAGTCTATTGGCTATAGGCCTACTGTTATTAGCATTAAATGTTCATTCTACTATTAATGTCCTTAGCCTCTAAAGCGTTTGCACAGATTTCTCTGTTTTTTAGGGCTTGACTGACATTCCAAATCACACTGCCGCAGCATCGAATGACGCTCCCCATTTGGCCGATAGTGAACCCGTGCAACAGTTCTTTCTCGAGGATGAGGAGATCTGTTCTCTAGCCTAGGCCTACTCTATGCCATGCAGCAAGCGTTGCCCTCCACGACCGTCCACCTTCATCCCCATATTGACGCTGTAGGCTTTAGAAAAAATGTAATGTAGGTAAATAATAATTTTGTGTTAATCTAGTTTTTCACTCACAAGATCTCTGCCTTTCCGGTGTTAGGATAGGCCTATAGCCTATACTCAAAAAATATATTTATAAACAACACAAAACCTTTTATTTAGCCCAAGAAAAAAGCTTCATGCTTTCCTTTTTAACCAAGCCATTTCAGCTCAGAGACACATTTTATACAACCTGTGCTGTCCATCGGGTGTGGCATGTATCTTCCTCCATAACCATATTCCCTCCAGTTGGTCGAAATGGTGCGCTGTCCCTGAAAGGTCCCGCTCAAACTGTACATTGGGGCTCACATCCCCTCAATATATAGACCCACAGCAGGTGAACACCCCCCATACAATTTTCTCTCATTCACCTGCTGTTGATAACTACACAGACAGACAGAGAGGCCTACTTTGAAAAAGAGATCTCACCCTTTCATCTGATCCGGCCTGAGTTCCTCAGAGAGGAGCGGTTTGGATTTCAAACCTTTTCAACCTCTAAAGTTGCGCTGAAATATATCCACGCGCACCCATTGTCCAAACCATACATTATAGAACAGACCCAGCCGGCTGGTCACCCCGCGTGCTCTACCACTGCAGGGAGATGTGCATGTGCATTAATAATGATGTGGAGGTGGAGTATTGTCCTGTGAATACACTGGGCCAATGCGTTTTAATGAGAATCGGAGTTTACCAGTTGGCTAAAAAGAAACATAAGCCTTATTTCATAATTCAAAAATAAGTTAACATTCAATAGCCCATAATTTAATTTTAAAATCTATTTATTTCAAAATTGTGACTTTTGGTTTAATGTTGCACAACATAGCCTGTCCCTTCACCGACTCTTTTATTAACATTCATAAATAGGCCTACTAAACAATATAACGAATTAAGCATTTTATTGGTTAAACTCGAACATTGAAACGCAAAATGAAAAACATTGATTTAGACTATTCTTAGAGGCTGCCTTTTTTAATGTTTACTTAAACTAGAATGTAGGCTATTTAAACTATGCCTATGATAACATTGATAATAATATAATTAATTAATTAATTATCAGATCAAGGCGTTGGGTCAACCAATGTTGCCATACATTGTTTAATCGATTTTATTAGTACTTTTTAGTCATTTAAATCTTTACAGGTTTTCCTTTATTTCTTAGCCTATATTTTTCTCACATTATAATTTCTTCCTTGAGGTGAGAGAAAGAATGACCATAGTAAAGAGAACACTGTTGAAATAATTATTTCTCCCTTTTCCTTTCCTTTCCTTTCCTCTCTCGCGATGGTGGTGAGTGACATTTACTTTTCATGGAGAGAAAAGACGTTAAAGTCTAATCTCTACCTAAAACTTGACTCCCACCTACTGGATGAAAATAATACAACTAAAGCTTAGATTTGTTGTTGAGTGCGCTCAATCGAGTCTGTTACTTTTCCCCAAGTACCCCAGAGAGAATGCAAATGTTCTAATTAAATATCTCTGTATATGGAATACTATAATATAATAAATAACATGTTTTAATGGTCCGAGTGGTGCAGTGGTCTAAGGCACTGCATCGCAGTGCTAGCTGTACCACTAGAGATCCTGGTTCGAATCCAGGCTCTGTCGTAGCCGGCCGCGACCGGGAGACCCAGGGGGCGGCGCACAATTGGACCAGCGTCGTCCAGGGTAGGGGAGGGAATGGCCGGCAGGGATGTAGCTCAGTTGGTAGAGCATGGCGTTTGCAACGCCAGGGTTGTGGGTTTGATTCCCACGGGGGGCCAGTATATAAAATAAAAATATGTGTGCACTCACTAACTGTAAGTCGCTCTGGATAAGAGCGCCTGCTAAATAATGTAAATGTATCCTTCTGTTCAGTAGGCCTACTATCTATGACTATATTTTGGCAATATAGAACCAGGAAGACAGGCACATTTTCAGAGAAATGAAAGTAAGCAGGCAGACAACACCCTAACACTTGTCCACAACTGTTCAGTCAGTCAGTGTGTGTATCAACATGGCAGACAGAACCAGGAAGTCAGGAACATTTTCAGAGAAATGAAAGTAAGCAGGCAGACAACACCCTAACACTTGTCCACAACTGTTCAGTCAGTCAGTGTGTGTATCAACATGGCAAAGGCAACTTTAGGTCAGGATCCCTTCTGCTGTTCAATCTGTCTGGATCTACTGAAGGATCCAGTGACTACTGCCTGTGGACACAGTTACTGTAGGGGCTGTATTAAGGGCTGCTGGGTTCAGGAAGATCTGAAAGGTGTCTACAGCTGTCCACTGTACATGGAAAGCTTCATCCCAAGACCTGTTAGAGTCCCGCTTTCAAGGAGCGGGACTCTAACCCGGAAGCTTATAAGAAATCCCGCTATGCCCTCCGACGAACCATCAAACAGGCAAAGCTTCAATACAGGACTAAGATCGAATCGTACTACACCGGCTCCGACACTCGTCGGATGTGGCAGGGCTTGCAAATTATTACAGACTACAAAGGGAAGCACAGCCGCGAGCTGCCCAGTGACACGAGCCTACCAGACGAGCTAAATTACTTCTATGCTCGCTTCGAGGCAAGTAACACTGAAACAAGCATGAGAGCATCAGCTGTTCCGGACGACTGTGTGATCACGCTCTCCGTAGCCGATGTGAGTAAGACCTTTAAACAGGTCAACATTCACAAGGCCGCAGGGCCAGACGGATTACCAGGACGTGTACTCCAAGCATGCGCTGACCATCTGGCAAGTGTCTTCACTGACATTTTCAACCTCTCCCTGTCTGAGTCTGTAATACCAACATGTTTCAAGCAGACCACCATAGTCCCTGTGCCCAAGAACACTAAGGTAACCTGCCTAAATGACTACCGACCCGTAGCACAGTCATTTGTAACCATGAAGTGCTTTGAAAGGCTGGTCATGGCTCACATCAACACCACTATCCCAGAAACCCTAGACCCACTCCAATTTGCATACCGCCCCAACAGATCCACAGATGATGCAATCTCTATTGCGCTCCACACTGCCCTTTCACACCTGGACAAAAGGAACAGCTATGTGAGAATGCTATTCATTGACTACAGCTCAGCGTTCAACACCATAGTGCCCTCAAACCTCATCACTAAGCTAAGGACCCTGGGACTAAACACCTCCCTCTGCAACTGGATCCTGGACTTCCTGACGGGCCGCACCCAGGTGGTAAGGGTAGGTAACAACACATCCGCCATGCTGATCCTCAACACGGGGGCCCCTCAGGTGCGCGTGCTCAGTCCCCTCTTGTACTCCCTGTTCACTCATGACTGCATGGCCAGGCACGACTCAAACACCATCATTAAGTTTGCTGATGACACAACAGTGGTAGGCCTGATCACTGACACCGACGAGACAGCCTATAGGGAGGAGGTCAGAGACCTGGCCGTGTGGTGCCAGGACAACAACCTCTCCCTCAACGTGATAAAGACAAAGAAGATGATTGTGGACTACAGGAAAAAGGACAGAGCACCCTTTTACACTGCTGCTACTCTCTGTTTATTATCTACGCATAGTCACTTTAATAACTCTACCTACATGTACATATTACCTCAATTACCTCGACTAACCGGTGCCCCAGCACATTGACTCGGTACCAGTAACCCCTGTATATAGCCTAGCTATTGTTATTTTTACTGCTGCTCTTCAATTATTTGTTACTTTTATTTCGTATTATTTTATATTGTATTTTTTTGTGATTTTCTTTAGTGGTGTTCTTTCTTAAAACTGCATTGTTGGTTAAGGGCTTGTAAGTAAGTATTTCACTGTAAGGTCTACACCTGTTGTATTCGGTGCATGTGACAAATACAATTTGATTTGATTTGTTTTGAGGAAAAACATCTTGTTGGCTGAATTAATGGAGAAACAGAAGAAGACAGGATTCAAATCTGCTCCTCCAGCTCTCTGTTATGCTGGACCTAGATATGTGGAGTGTGATTTCTGCACTAGGAGGAAACTCAAAGCTGTCAAGTCCTGCCTGGTGTGTCTGGCATCTTACTGTGAGACTCACCTCCAGCCTCACTATGAAGCCTTTAAGAAGCACAAGCTGGTCAAAGCCTCCACACAACTACAGGAGAAGATCTGCTCTCATCATGACAAACCACTGGAGGTTTACTGCCATACCGATCAGCAGTGTATCTGTTATCAGTGTATAATGGATGAACATAAAGGCCATGATACAGCTACAGCAGAAAGGACTGAGAAACAGGTAAGGATGATAACTCCACTGTAAAACATAATAGATCTGCATTTAGACATTTGTTAATCTCTTTACGACATATTGTTGATGTACCTCATATCAAATGGAAGTGTTTTATGTCAAAGGTGATATAACTGGAAGAGCGAGAAAAACATCCAACGCCCAGAGATGTCAAAGTACTTAAACAAAATTGCCTGATTATATTGTTGCAGTAATTTGTTGACTCTCATAAGTAATAATAAGTTGACACATCACAAAATGCAATCATTATGGTGTTATATTTCCAAAATCTCAAGAACGCATAGACATATCTCCTTCTTTTGGCTGCATCTCTGCGTCTGAGGTTTGAAGGACTATCCTATTTCACATAAATATCATGGAAGGAGCCGTTACAAAGTCTTGTCACCATTCTCTGCAGAAACAGTTGGGGGAGAATCATCAGAAATCCCAGCAGAGAATCCAGCAGAGCGAGAAGAAGATGAAGAAGCTGGGACAGGCGGTGGTCTCTCTGAAGGTGAGTGTTGGGAATATCTATATTTAAATTAAATATATATTCACATGTTGAAAATGTTCAGGTTGTCTGGGTCCTGGTGAGAACTGAGTGAATAGGAAAAGGCTATATGGACCCTCCTGACCAGCAAACCAATATTACATTTCAGAATTGGTTAAAATTAGTTTAGGGTCAGGGTAAAGGGTTTGGTGTAAGGTTAGGGTTAAGGTAAGGATCAGTTTTAGATGTTGTCTAGTCAATGGGATGCTGGAAAGAAAAGTCCTTATAGTCTCTCCTGAGTGAATAGGCTGTATTAAATGTGTTCTAACAGCGCTCTGCACAGGTAGCGGTGGAGGACAGTGAGAGGATTTTTACTGAGCTGATCTGTTCCATTGAAAGAAGGAACTCTGAGGTGAAGGAGCAGATAAGAGCCCAGGAAAATGCTGAAGTGAGTCGGGCTAAAAAGCAACTGAAGCAGCTGGAGCAGGAGGTCGCTGAGTTGAGGAGGAAAGATGCTTAGCTGGAGCAGCTTTCACACACGGAGGATCACATCCATTTCCTCCAGGTGACATCAGTCTGTCTACATAAGCAAACAAATCTAAAATAACTTATAAACTTTAGATAACACATCTCTACATTTCTGTTTTTCAACCTGTTTCTCTCTGTAGGGTTTTCAGTCTCTCTGTGTCCCTCATCGATCTGATGCCTTACCCAACATATCGGTCAATCCACACATCTCTTTTCATTTTGTGTAGAAGTTTGTATCTAAAGTGACAGAACAACTGGAGGATATCTGCAAGAAGGAAATTGTCAAACTATCATGGGAAGGTAGGTGGGAAGTAGCAAATAGACTTGTACTTTACGTGCCTCAAATTTAGCAATAGTGGTTACCTTGAATGAATGTTGATCCATAGAGTTGACTGTAGTAATCCTTTGTATCTTGTTTGTGGTTTCTTGCATTCATTTGCATTGGTTTGATTGTGGTAAGAACAGTGCACCATTCACACTCACCATACATTCAAACACCTGTGTCTTTATAGATCACCTGATGTGTGTTTACCACCACCATCTGTCTGCCCCTAGTTGTCTGGAGTGTAATTGCCCGAATAATACCACATTATAAAATACACCCAAATTTGCTCCAACAATTATTATTATGGGGACTTTCATTTCAATCTTCTGGGTTACTGCATTTTACATTTACATTTTAGTCATTTAGCAGACGCTCTTATCCAGAGCGACTTACAGGAGCAATTAGGGTTAAGTGCCTTGCTCAAGGGCACATTAACGTCATTTAGCAGACGCTCTTAGCCAGAGCGACTCACAAATTGGTGCGTTCACCCTATAGCCAGTGGGATAACCACTTTACAATTTGGGGGGGGGGGGGGGGGGGTTAGAAGGAATACTTTATCCTATCCCAGGTATTCCTTAAAGAGGTGGGGTTTCAAATGTCTCCGGAAGGTGGTGAGTGACTCCGCTGTCCTGGCGTCGTGAGGGAGCTTGTTCCACCATTGGGGTGCCAGAGCAGCGAACAGTTTTGACTGGGCTGAGCGGGAGCTATGCTTCCGCAGAGGAAGGGGAGCCAGCAGGCCAGAGGTGGATGAACGCAATGCCCTCGTTTGGGTGTAGGGACTGATCAGAGCCTGAAGGTACAGAGGTGCCGTTCCCCTCACTGCTCCATAGGCAAGCACCATGGTCTTGTAGCGGATGCGAGCTTCAACTGGAAGCCAGTGGAGTGTGCGGAGGAGGGGGGTGACGTGAGAGAACTTGGGAAGGTTGAACACCAGACGGGCTGCGGCATTCTGGATGAGTTGTAGGGGTTTAATGGCACAGGCAGGGAGGCCAGCCAACAGCGAGTTGCAGTAGTCCAGACGGGAGATGACAAGTGCCTGGACCAGGACCTGCGCCGCTTCTGAGGAATGGATACATAAACCTGTGATTGAAATAACTGTCCAAACACCAACTATCAAGCTGACTTAAATCAATCAGTCCATCTCTCCCTTAGCACCTCCCTCTGACTACTTCATGGATGCCATTCCACAGACTTCTTATTACAATACCAACCAATTGGCACAGCGGAGACCCAGCCCTTGCTGGATAACCCAACAACCATATTTTCACAACATGCAAGCGACCTTCAGCACAATGAGGCCCACCGTGCCTCCCATGGTGTACCCTCATCGCATGGACGCCCAGGCTGCAGCTGCTGCAACCCCAGTGCACATGCCTCAGTACAAGTATGCTGCAGGAGTGTGCAACCCTCAGCAGCACATTAATACACTTCCCCAGGTTGTTAAGCAGCAGCCTGTTGTCCATGTGCAGGACCAGGGGCCTCTGGCTGCTGCTCCTCCTCAGGAACAGAGGGAAATGCTGGGTCAACGCCTCTTCCCGCTCATCCAGAACATGCAACCCAGTCTGGCAGGAAAGATCACTGGCATGTTGCTGGAGATTGACAACTCTGAGCTACTCTACATGTTGTAGTCTCCAGAGTGTCTCTGCTCCAAGGTGAATGAAGCTGTGACTGTGCTGCAGGCTCACCAGGTCAAGCAGGCAACACAGAGACAAGAAAAATAAAACTAAAGAAAAGGAAATAACTTGATTCAGCTGGGCCTAGAGATCACTAGGCAAAAATAGAAAATTGTCAAAATAAAACAAAGTCTGGGTTTAATTATAACATGTAATGAAATTACTATGGCTGTCAAATGATACGAAAACGCAATCGAGTTAATCTCATGATTTGCTGTGATTAATTGCGATTTATCGCAAATTTAGAATTTTGCTCAAATTGAGCTGTATTTTATAACAATTGATACAAAAAGCATGACAAGAATTTTGACATCTTGATTTTTTCCAAAGTAACGGTAAGTAAAATCAGGTAAATTGATAAAGCACACTTTCTTTAACCTCAATGTCAACCTGTTTTGACATTGCAGTGTTGTTTTTAGCTGTATAGATTATGTATTTTTGATGTTTTCAGCGTATTATGAACGCTTTCAGACAATACGATTAATCACAATTAAAAAGAATGTGTGCACAAAAATTACAAACAGTTAACTTGAGTTAACTGATTAACTCTGACAGCCCTAGAAATTACTGAAAGCATTCCTTTCTGGCATGTTATTCCTTTTAAATGTATGAATGCTTTGGATATTTATAGTCCATGGCATTGTGAAATGTACAGTGCCTTCAGAAAGTATTCATACCCCTTGACTTATTCCATTTTGTTGTGTTACAGCCAAAGTGAAAACATGTTTTTAGAAATTTTTGCACATTTATTGAAAATTCAATACAGAAATATCTCATTTAAATAAGTATTCACACCCCTGAGTCAAAACTTTGTAGAATAACTTTTTGCAGCGATTACAGCTGTGAGTCTTTCTGGGTAAGTCTCTAAGAGCTTTCCACTCCTGGATTGTGCAACATTTGCCATTATTATTTTCAAAATTCTTCAAGCTCGGTCAAATTGGTTGTTGATCATTGCTAAACAACCATTTTCAGGTCTTGCCATAGATTTTAAGTCAAAACTGTAACTCGGCCACTCAGGAACATTTACTGTCTTCTTGGTAAGCAAGTCCAGTGTAGATTTGGCCTTGTGTTGTCACACCCTGATCTGTTTCACCTGTCTTTGTGCTTGTCTCCACCCCCCACCAGGTGTCTCCCATCTCCCCTCATTATCCCCTGTGTATTTATACCTGTGTTTTCTGTTTGTCTGTTGCCAGTTTGTCTTGTCAAGTCCTACCAGCGTGTTCCCGTGTTTCCTGTGCTCTAGTTTGTTTTTCTTGGGATTCCCAGTTCTGACCTTTCTGCCTGTCCTAACCCTGATCCTGCCCGCTGTACTGTACCTACCTGACTCTGTTTTGGATTACGACCCTTTGCTTGTCTTGACCTACCGATTGCCTGCCTGATTCGGATTTGGATTACGACCCTTTGCCTTCCTTGACTTACCTTTTTCCTGCCCCTTGAACTATAATCAACTCTGAGACTCTTACTGTCTGCCTCCTGTGTCTGCATCTGGGTCTTAGCCTGAGCCGTGATAGTACGAACTGGCCATGACTGACCCAGCAGACTCAGACCAGCTCCACAATGCTGTCTCCCAGCAAGGAGCCACCATTGGAAGACACAAGGAGTTACTGCAATGCCTTATGGAGGGACTCCATACCCTGGCAGAATGCCATGACCATGCGTTCGATACATTGCTGGAGCAATTCCGTGGATTCCCTACTAGGCAGCAAGCCACACCAGTAAGTCCCTATCATTGACCAGTGCCTGGAACACTGCGGGAGCGTTGGTCAGTCCGAACGGCATCATCAGGTACACAGCTAGCCATGTTAAAGGCAGTCTTCCACTCATCTCCTTCCCGTATCCGAACCAGATGGTAGGCGTTCCGCAGGTCCAACTTGGAGAAGATGATCGCCCCCTGGAGAGGCTCGAAAGCTGAGGAGATGAGTGGTAACAGTTTTTAACCGTAATGTCATTGATACCCTGATTGTTGATACACGGACGCAGGGTCTTGTCCTTCTTCTCCACAAAGAAGAACCCTGTGCCGGCGGGGGAGGAAGGTGGACGCATAATCCCTGCAGCAAGAAAGTCCTCAATATACCCTTCCATCGCTTTGGACCAAACAGGGAATAAAGTCGCCCCCAAGGCGGTGCCCGGGAGAAGGTCGATAGCACAGTTGCAGGGCCGATGCGGCGGAGGAGATGTGGCTCGGGCAGAGTTGAAAACCTCCCGTAAGTCCTGGTACTCCGCAGGAATGGCGGAGAGATCCAAGGTTTTTCCCAAGCCAGCAGGGAGACGTCCCAGGGCAGGCTGCGCCGACTTCAGACAATGAGCATGGCAAAACGGGCTCCAACCCATGATGGACCCCGTAGTCCAGTCGATAAGGGGATTGTGCCTCTGAAGCCATGACAACCCCAAAACCATGGGTACATGAGGAGACTCCAGGAGCAGAAACTGCATGGATTCACTGTGGTTGCCTGACACTCGCAGGTGAATAGGAACCGTACTGTGGTTGACTTTGCCAATAGAGCGCCCATCCAGCGCTCTGATGTTCATCGGAATGGAAAGGGGTTGAGTGGAGATGCCCAGCTCCGACACCAGGGTAGTGTCCATAAAGCTCTCGTCGGCCCCAGAGTCAATGAGCACCCGGATGGATTTGGACTGGCCTCCCCACAACAGGGTAGCATAGAGGGGGTTACAAGTAGTAAGGGATTGGAAACTCCCTGTATGTCTCACCAGTATACTCATACCTACTGATGAGCCTGGTCTTTTTAATGGGCAGGTAGATAAGAAATGTCCCGTAGCTCCACAATACAGACAGCTCTTAGTGTTTAGTCTGCATAAGCGCTCAGCAGGAGACAATCTAGCCCTGCCCAGTTGCATGGGCTCCGGAGGAGGCGAGTCGGCAGCCCTCAGTGATTCCCGAGAGAACTTGGGTGACATTGGATTCACTCGGCAATGTAGACTTCAGGGATTTCCGGGATTCCTCGGAGGCGAGGTAGGAATCAATGGTGACAGGGAACAGATTACCACATATTTACAGTACAAAAATCATCCATATGTACTTGTGTGTATAGTGCGTATGTTATCGTGTGTATGCATGTGTCTGCGCCTATGTTTGTGTTGCTTCACAGTCCCCGCTGTTCCATAAGGTGTTTTTTTTTAATCTAATTTTACTACTTGCATCAGTTACTTGATGTGGAATAGAGTTCCATGTAGTTATGGCTCTATGTAGTACTGTGCGCCTCACATAGTCTGTTCTGGACTTGGGGACTATAAAGAGACCTCTGGCATGTCTTGTGGGGTATGCATGGGTGACCGAGCTATGCGCCAGTAGCTCAAACAAGACAGCTCGGTGCACCCAACATGTCAACCCCTCTCATAAATACAAGTAGTGACGAAGTCAATCTCTCCTCCATTTTGAGCCAAGAGAGATCAACATGCATATTATTAATATTACCTCTCTGTGTACATCCATGGGCCAGCTGTGCTGCCCTGTTCTGAGCCAATTGCAATTTTCCTAAGTCCTTTTTTGTGGCACCTGACCACCTGACTGAACAGTAGTCCAGGTGTGACAACTAGGGCCTGTAGGACCTGCCTTGTTGATAGTGCTGTTAAGAAGGTAGAGCAGCGCTTTATTATGGACATACTTCTCCTCATCTTAGCTACTGTTGAATCAATATGTTTTGACCATGACAGTTTACAATCCAGGGTTACTCCAAGCAGTTTAGTCACCTCAACTTGCTCAATTTCCCTCTCACTCCTACGTTCCCGTAGCCACCCATCGATCCAGATGATCCAGGCTATGAGGGAGTCGAGGTCCATGGGCAGCTCCCGGGCTGTGAGCTCGTCTTTAATCACCTCCGATAATCTGTGAAGGAACATGTCGAACAATGCTTCTGGGTTCCAGGCACTCTCAGCCGCCCACGTGCGAAAATCCATTACGTAGTCTGCCACACTACGGGGGTTTTAACGTAGCTGGAGCAGCTTACAAGCAGCCTCTCTCCCGGACAACGGAGAATCGAACACCTTACGTACCTCCGCCACGAACTCCTCCAGACTGAGGCAAACGGCGGACTGTTGCTCCCACACCGCCGTAGCCCAGGCGAGTGCCCTCCCGGCCATCAGCGTTATGAGGTACGCTATTTTCGAGCAGTCCGAGGTGAACAAAGAAGGCTGCAGCTCGACGATGAGAGAGCACTGGGAGAGAAGGGCCCGGCAGGTACCAGAATCTCCAGCGTAGAGCTCCGGAGGAAGTAAGCAAGGTTCTCGGGACACCGGGGTAGGCTGGGAAGAAGTGCCGCTGGTGGCGGGGTGCTGAGAGTCTGGGGACGTACCTGGTCTTCTCGAGACCACCTCCAGGTCTCGACGACAGGCGGACCGCAACCGAACCCCTGGTATGGCTGTTCACTCGGGATCTGCCCCTCCGGGTGGAGTCCCGCAAACCTTCCCCCCATTTTATCGGACCTTTCCCCATCTCTAAGGTCCTTAGCCCCTCTGCTGTTCGCCTTCTGTTGCCCCGCACTCTCCGTATACATCCCACTTTTCATGTGTCTAGGATTAAACCAATGTCTCACAGCCCTTTGTCTCCTGTTTCCAGGCCCACCCTTCTCCCCCGTCTCATCGATGGCCAACCGGCATACACGATGAGGCGCCTCCTGAAGGTTAGACCGCGGGGCAGGGGATTCCAGTACCTGGTTGATTGGGAGGGTTATGGCCCGGAGGAGAGGTGCTGGGTTGCTGCTAGGGACATCCTGAACCCAGCCCTCATCGCTGAGTTCCACCGCCGGCACCCCGGTCAACCAGATATGCGCCCAGGTAGGAAGCCAGGTGGTGTCCCTAGAGGGGGGGTAATGTCACACCCTGATCTGTTTCACCTGTCTTTGTGCTTGTCTCCATCTCCCCTCATTATCCCCTGTGTATTTATGCCTGTGTTTTCTGTTTGTCTGTTGCCAGTTCGTCTTGTCCCTTCAAATCCTACC